AAGCTGACGCCCCCCTCGAAAACCGAGGGCTCGACAGGGCAGGCGGAAGGTGAGGGAGGCTGTCGCCATGGCAACACAGGCTCCTGGCCAGCCTCATGAGCAGCACCCCCAGCTGGGGGGTCCCAGAGCACCCTGGGAGCGGGGCAGGGAGGGCACCGGGGCCCTCCAGGGAGAGGGCAGTCGGCCCATGGGACTGGGGGGCTGCGTCTACACTGCAAAGCAACAGGGCTTGACTCCGGCTCCGACCCTCTACCCCAGCCTGGATCCGAGGTCTGGGCTAACACGACTTGTTTAGACGGGAGCGTATCCAGGGAGACCAGCCCTGGCGGGGAGGGATGCCCCAGAGACTGGCTCAGCCCGGTCCAGACGATACTGGTCTGCTGATTCCTGCCAGTCTGGTCTGGTTCCTGCCAGCCTGGTCCAGACAATTACTGGTCTGATTCCTGCCAGTCTGGTCTGGTTCCTGCCAGCCTGGTCCAGACAATTACTGGTCTGATTCCTGCCAGTCTGGTCTGGTTCCTGCCAGCCTGGTCCAGACAATTACTGGTCTGATTCCTGCCAGTCTGGTCTGGTTCCTGCCAGCCTGGTCCAGACAATTACTGGTCTGATTCCTGCCAGTCTGGTCTGGTTCCTGCCAGCCTGGTCCAGACAATTACTGGTCTGATTCCTGCCAGTCTGGTCTGGTTCCTGCCAGCCTGGTCCAGACAATTACTGGTCTGATTCCTGCCAGTCTGGTCTGGTTCCTGCCAGCCTGGTCCAGATGAAACTGGTCTGATTCCTGCCAGCTTGGTTTACACCATACCGGTCTGGTTCCTGCCAGCCGGGTCCAGACAATACTGGTCCCTTCTGCCAGCCAGACTCCCAGTGCTGGGAACCTCTCCTGGCACCTACTGGTCCCTTCTGCCAGCCAGACTCCCAGTCCTGGGCCCCTCCCATGGCACCTCGGCGCTGGCCCCTCCACCGGGTGCTAGGAATGTTTCATCCCACTCTGCGAATGGCTTCCCAGCACACCCTCCCGCCCAGCTCTCCCCACACCCCCCACCTCTCTCGGGGAAGGGGGAGGGCTGGCTCTCACCACTCACAGCTTCTCCCCTCCCGCTCTAGCGCTTTGCCCCCCTCCCCAGGTGGTATCCCCGTCTTCTGGCTTTTTCTCTTGACTGTCTCCCTTTCTTCTCTCCCGCCTCCCGCTGCTCCCCCCTCCCCCCCGGACGCTCCGCAGCCAAGCGCAAAATGTGGAAATTAAAAACCTTTGGTAGTTTAAGAAATATTTATAAAACAGGTAACGCGCAGCGGCCGTCGCGCGGTGCTGGTGTCCTCATGCATGTCCATCTGCTTCCGGCGGGGCCCGCCGCTGGGCGCCCGGGCGGGGGGCGTACGCAGGCCCAGGGCGGGCAGCCGGGGTGGAGCGCCGTGCTAAGCCCAGAAGTGCTGGCCGGCACAGGACAGGCTCGGAGGCCTCTGGGGAGCTGGAGAAAGGCGCGGGCACGGCTCCTGGGGGCTGTGTCCTGCCAGCTGTTTACTCCCCTGCATGCTGCCCGCACGCTCATCACGGCCGCTTCCCCGCGACACAGCCTCTGGCCAGCAGGGGGCAGTATGTGCTGCTTCACTACTACACCCCATGCACCCACTCCGGCAGGAGCTGCCAGCTCTTTTCCAGGGGTATTCTGTGTCTGCCCTACAAATAAACCCCTAAGCCGGGGAGTGCTCGGCCAGGCAGGGAGCTGCCCCAGCCCAGCCTTAGCACCCCCGGTCTGGCAGACGGAGCATCCCCTTTCCCTTTGGCAGAGGAGGAGAACTTCGAGTTCATCATCGTGTCCAGCACGGGCCAGACGTGGCACTTTGAGGCCGGCAGCTTTGAGGAGAGGGACTCCTGGGTCCAGGCGATCGAGAGCCAGATCCTGGCCAGCTTGCAGTGCTGCGAGAGCAGCAAAAACAAGGTAGGCCAGCGCCCTAGGGAGCGGGCCGGCGCAGCTGCACCCCAGAGCCAGCCGCCTTTTGGCACAAAGAACCACCTTGGGAATTTACCCACAGTCCTCTCTGCCATCTGGCTGCTGGGACGCCAGGCCAGTGGGGTAACCCCCTGGAGAGCTCTGTCCCACCCCCTGTCAGTCCCTTGAGACAGGGAAATGCAGCCACCTTGGGGGACAGCAGTCCAGAGCGTACAGCTGCCAGCATTTGGTACGGTCTCACATAACCGCGTGTCGGGGTTCCCCCCAATCCTGCAGCCCCGTAGCCACAAGAACAGACTCCGTCAGACAGTCGAACAGAGAGGGGTTATTGGTCCTCCAGGATACAGCCCAGCATAGACGGGATGTGGTTACAGGAGTCAGGGCCCGGATGCCTCAGACCTCTGGGGTTAGGGGGTCCATCGCCCCCTCAGCACCCAGCTTAGTCTGTTCCCTTCATGTTTTCTAGCCAGAAACAGCCCGGCTCCCCGACCCTGCCCCCAGCCAGGTGTCCGTCTCCGCCTCCCTTCCTTTGTCTCTCCCCCTGGGAAGAGCCCTGGTATCTGCTCAGGCTGGGCCTAGGTGTCTGGGCCAATGCACATGTGGGTGAGTCAGAGGGAATCCCATCACAACGCAGGGGAACCCCGGTTATAGAGCAGACAGCTCCCTCCCTACGTCACAAACCTCCTCATTAATAATCTCAGGAAATGCAACCTAGGCTGTGTCTAGACTACATGCCTCTGTCGGCAGAGGCATGTAGATTAGACACATAGGCAAAGGCAAATGAAGCTGCGATTTAAATGATCGCGGCTTCATTTACATTTACATGGCTGCCGCGCTAACCCCGGTTATAGAGCAGACAGCTCCCTCCCTACGTCACAAACCTCCTCATTAATAATCTCAGGAAATGCAACCTAGGCTGTGTCTAGACTACATGCCTCTGTCGGCAGAGGCATGTAGATTAGACACATAGGCAAAGGCAAATGAAGCTGCGATTTAAATGATCGCGGCTTCATTTACATTTACATGGCTGCCGCGCTGAGCCGACAAACAGCT